GTTACAAACTCAACAAAAAAATTGAATATGTAATTCAGGAGAGAATGCAATAAGTTTGTTATTAGCATTTATATATAATTACCAAATGAAAAAAAACATTCCTAATAACTTCTTCCGGTTATTGACTATTCTAATTTTATAGATAACATTATAGTTAATGCTGTTAATGATTGTTATTATAGAAGTAATGGAATAAACTGAAATTAATATATTTAAACGGGAGTGACATTTATTTATATAACCGTTAATACATTAAAAATTTTACTTCTGATAATTATTATAATCATTAGTTACAAACAAATCGTTAGATTGAAATAATGTCCCATCGAATGAATATAATTAGACTAGAAGTCTTAATTTAGACATTCCTCCTTAATGTTTTTTTTTAAATCATTAGATATTTATGATTGTTTTACTTTGATATAATGTGATCAAGGTAATATTTTAAACTACATGATAAATAATACATTTTTATCATCATACGGATGAAATCTCATACAGTTATTTAGCATGTCACGAATTACTCAGCTGTAATATTATCATAAATATTATTCAATACGTCATGCACATTACATTAACAATAGCTTATCATCTATCATTACAATAACAACACGGAGCCTACTCGTTTACGTCAACATGTTAATGCCGCTACGGTATGACAACCGGACATTTCGCTAATCTCCTATTTACATTATAATTTCCTCAAATTTGCTACTAACATTCTATTTACATAATAATCTAGAAGACAGATTATTATTTTTCTATATAAGTAGAAAATATATTTAAATATATATTATATATTTAAAAACGCATTGTAAGTCGCGCTAACGCATAAATTTCCTGTTATATATTCGAAGAAGTGGGAGGATCGTTTTCTTTTTTTACGCTTTTATTCATATTCTGCTACTAAAATTGTCACAAAGCACTTTCTATGTTCGTCCCGTCGTTATTAGCACATAGAAGAAGCTCATTGTTTAAGTTTTAGAAAATAAAATCAGGAAGGAGATAAGAATACTTCTTAGAAATGCCATCAGAAGGGGCAAAGACATTTGTATTGTATTCTTTGTCCTTTACTCTCTTATGCATGATTAATATACTTACTTTTCATTCTGTCACTGCTAGGTTAGAAGTTTATAAAGTATTAATCATACAAAAATGCTATTTAAAGTGAATGTAATTATAACATTAGATGTTACTATGGAAAATCTCGAAATCTATATATATGTAAATATTATTTTTGTTCCCGTACAGGTGCACGTGTAAACAAAAATACTCTTCGCTCTGAAAAATCCGACAAGTCTAATGATTATTTTGCACTTTTTATTTTATCTTTTACAATATTTATTTATTTTTTTCGAATTTTTTTGCATGAACTGATCTCAGAGTTTGGCGACCCGAAACGTCTTTTGTTTAATTTATTCAAATTTTGTCTTAGGGAATTTTGCAAAAAAATGTTAATTCGTCCATTTATTTTATTAAATAGATATGTAACACGATTTTTTTGAAATCTTTTTAATTTGATTTTTTTCTCCATATTTTTAACATTATTATTTATTTATTTTCGTTACGATAATGTTTGTATTCAGTTACACGAGATGGCGCTGACCTATATGAACCTATTCTGAAACTCAAAATCAAAAGAAAAAAATTATAAATTTAAATAAAAAATAGTTTTTTAGAAAAAAAATCCTTAAATATTTTGATCTTAATCAACCTTATGCCTTCATAATGTATAGTATATATTAGAAAATATTTTAAACTTTAAATACTGTGTAATATTTTAAAATGTTATATTTTTATTTTCGTTACGTCCAAAATAATAAATATATAAAATTTTTCTTATTTTAAATATTTGATTTTACAGTTTGGGAACGATTTAGGGTCACGTGAATCGATGGCGTCAAAATGTAGGTCTAGTTTGGGTTAATCGGTTCATCAAACAAGTGTGTTCTACTTCTATCAATCCGATGACCCAAGTTGTCATCATCTAAGTTTAGTCGACAATAATTCTCACGAAACAGACTGAATCTTGATTTTAAATTTATATTTTATGAATAATATTGGTAGGAATAATCATTTTTAACATTTCGCGTTCTCGAGGATTCTCAGAAATCGGGAAAAATCAAGGATGCTTACTTATTTCAAGCCTGTTTTTTTTTTAATATACTAACGTTTAACAAGCCTCAAATATAAGACTTGGATCAAATTGTCCTGCTGATCCTTCGAGATAGTCTTCACTGTGTACTTTTATAAAACATTTCCAAAATAAAAATCACAATAAAGTTCTTTAGATAATCTAAAATGAAACTAAATACATTGTTAACGATAACGAACCAAATATTAAATAATCGAGATCTATATTTATCCAATTTTTAAACAATATATCAGTTTTTTTTTTTATCTGAGAAACAATTAAATACCCTTGTTCATGGACTATTTACGAAATCGTTTTATGATTATTATGTAGATCATGAGAAATAATATTTTTGGTATGCCATTATTATTCCTACAATTGCAAATAGACATTTAGGTATAGAGATAATAGACAGGTAGACACTATCAATGTTTAATTATCAGGTACTGTACACTTTACATATTAACAGTATGAAATTGCACATTCACATCATTATATTTTTCCGTGTCATTCATGATGTTCGTTTATTTTTTCGATAATAACGCAATGAAAAATTCTTAAAAAGGGGCAATACCTGTATACAATATTTCCAAAAGAATATTTTATATAATTATTCTTTTACATTGAATTATTTTGTAATGCTTTCTCTAATTCTTAATATTTTACAATTTTAGAATTATTTTAATGAAATACAGTAAATATAGAATTAAATTTAATACAGTCGACCCCCTATAACGCTGTTGATTATTCCGTTTTATATAAATTCCATGTTGTACGAGTCACTTAATTTTACAAATACGTGAGCCGTTCACAGCCCGGCACACGTATTTGTAAAATCTAAGTGACTCGTACAATATTGTATATCTGCTAGTGTTTAACACATACTAATGACTTTTATAATGGAAATAAATTACAATAAATCTTATATTCAACTGACGGTGCAACTTTTCTCTCATTTAAATTTTTATAGGCTATTTTGCTTATGACATTTTTTTCCTTACATTTTAAATATGTTCATTTCATCTTATATTCTGATGTTATTTATAGTAAATAAAAAGTGTTTTACTACTATACAGAATTTTCTTACGTTCTTACACGCAGATTAATTCATAAATAACGCTTGTAAAAACAAAAACAAAAAAAAAAAAATGCACGTTTCATTACAAAAACGTGTTCCTTCTCACAGCTGAAATGTTTATTTTTTAAATTATTTATATTTATTCGTCTGTTATCGGATGTAGACGTGGAACGGTCTGTCTCAAGCGTGTCTACACAGTGCGTTCTTTTAACTACTGAAGCAAACTCTCTGTGACGTCAGACAGCAATACTGATGCTTACAGATCGCTGCGTAAAGGAACACGGTCTATTCTCAATATAAATAAATTTAGAAACATGCTTTATTTTAAGAGTTTGAAAAACTTAGATGATTCATTTAATAAGCGAATTTTTATATAAACTGTCCTTAATGTAGAAAAGCTTTAAAACGTAATTTATAAAAAATATATATTTAAACAAACAGTAATTCCAATAAACGAAAGAGTAATCGGGGCAGAGTTCATACGAAACGCACCAACGAACCTGATACATTAATTTTTTTTTTTTGCTTTCCTTATACTGTATTATGAGAAGTTCCTTCCCTCCCTTCCTGCTTGTCATTCAGATCTTGATTTTTGAATGTATTTTAGTGGAAACTAGATCCTGATAATCGTCCCCCAGGGGAAAGATATTCCTTTTGATCTTCCGGCATTTACCCGGGTATACACTTCATTGATTAAGGTCTATCTTTTGACATTTTACGCGTTCTTTGAAGACTGAGTATACCTTTCGAAATACCCTTTAGGTATTTTTTACTTATACAATATAATTTGAAAATTACTCGAGAGTGACTTCCTTCGGGGAAGAAAACTAAGATGATCGCAGGTGCGTACAAGCAATTTACAGATAAATTTGAAAATCTAGATGCTAAAATTCGTAGAATCTCGGTAATGGCAAACTGTACGGGTTTATAATTATGATAAAATTATAGGCATGTAAACGATAGATGAATAGAATTAAATAAGTATTTTATTCGCATCGAAGTTTATGAAAAATATGAAGCTTATAATTTTATAAAGTTTGGTTTCCTTCAGGAGACAGATTTAATTTGTAGTTATAATCAATGAGGCTTGCTTTCTAATAGTTTTCAATTAATTAAATTTTCCACATTCTAAATTAATCTTCCTGAATTTTGTTTAAAATATTTAGAGTATTGACATTAATACATTTAACGCTTCCCTTCTTACAATTTTCATTCAAAATTTCCTGAAAATTTAATAAAAGAAACCTTTGAAGATATTTTTTTTCCCTTTGTAATGTATTGAACTCGTCTTCAAGCAATTCGATGTTTGATTTGAGTTTTTTAATTTTATCATTTTTTTTCTTATTCTCTATGCATTAAGGTAATAGTGATTTAAAAAATTAAGAAATTATATTCAACAATTTTATTCAAGATTAACATTATATTAGTCACATAATAATTATGAAATTCGAGATATATTATTAATCAATCATAGAAGAAGAGAAGATTGATACTTAGGCAACACCCATCTCTATTTAAGTATCATACATGATAACAGATACCAGAAATGGGGAGGAAAAGCTATTTAAAAGCAAATTTTATGATAACCAGTTTTTCATATAAACTATTAAATCGGTAATTTAAATCTTTAGATAACACCTTTGACTGGTAAGCTGGAATAAATATAACATTAGATATGACTGACGTGACATACTTCAAATATCACAGTAGTTAAAAGTTTTAATCTGTTATTAAATCGCTATATCATTTTTTCTATTATATATTCATCAAACTCGTTTTTACTTTCAGTGCCAATGCTCAAATGGAAAACAATGTGACACCCGTTTATCTAGCGGCTCAAGAGGGCCACTTGGATGTACTAAAATATCTCGTTTTAGTAGCAAGTGGCTCTTTATATCTGAGGGCCAAAGATGGAATGGCACCCATCCACGCTGCTTCGCAAATGGGGGCTACCAAATGCGTAAAGTGGATGGTGAGTTTCTAAACAGAAATTTTTGGTTTACAGATAAAGCAAAGAATATTACAATACGTTGTATTTCAGGTGGAAGAACAAGGCGTAGATCCAAATCTTCGAGACAACGATGGCGCAACACCCGTCCATTTTGCAGCAAGCAGAGGTCATCAGGAAACTCTAAGATGGCTGTTGAAGCATGGAGGACGAATTCTGCTAGATAAATATGGCAAAAGCCCTTTAAACGATGCCGCAGAAAATGAACATATGCAAGTAAGTAGTTTGGCTGTGAGGAAGAGATTTTTTTTTTTTTTTTTTAATTCTAGACTTCGTTGATTGCCACTAGCAATTACAAGAGTATTTACTAAAATAAAATAACGCCGTAGTTTTTATTTACGTATAAAGATAATTTCAAGGTGGTTAAGCATCGCTGGACGGAGAGAAAATATTTTTTGATAGAAAACTGGCAAAATAACTGATGTGTTTCTTGAAAGAAGTGGCATTTTTATTTATTCTTATCCTGTTACAATCAGATTGTTTTTCTCTTTTCTATTCCCATTGAATTTTATTCTGTCGAAATATGATTGCATTCAGTCTAACAGAATATTTCACGAGTAATTAATTTATATTTTAATTTTTAATAATTTCAAGTCTGTGTGATAAATGCAAAGTCATCAGAATTTTAAACATTGTGTTTTATGTAAAAAAATAGGTACAACGTACTATTACTAATTAGCCATCAATTGTAATCTTGGCATTATTAAAATCCTATATTTCATTAAATTAATTCTCCATTTTAATTATTATAAAATTAATTGATTTTTTTAAATAAAAAAATCATTCTTTTAAAATCTGATATACGTTAAGACACAGTTACGCATCTGATGGGCTATAAACACAACAATTATTAGTTGTTATGCTTTACTGCTTTGAAAGATGAATGACAACCTGTTCTTTTTTGTTTAAGCCTGTTTCATTATGGTTCATAACTGAAGCTCATATCAGTTTGTTTTTCTCATAAAGATTACGCCAGACTTATTTTGCATTTAATAATATAAAGAATTAAATTAGTGCTTTGAAGTTTTTCACTTAATTACAAATTTTACGAAAGAGTAACAGAAAAAAATCTTATGAAGAACAATAAGGAATGGAAACTAATATTTCACTAAATAAGGATTATAACAATAGTAATTTAAATATTTGAAAATCGGTTAAACAATGATACTCTTTTAATATTACATGTATGATATAACAGTTTTTTAGTGTCATTCAATCATAAATAAGCTACAATATCGTTATGTATATAAGATAGATAGAAACTAATCTTATTGGCATAGATTATCTTAAAGATCAATCGATCTTAAAGATTTCCTCATGTTACGCTTATTGATTATTAAAGAATATTTACTATCCATGAAGAATTTCGACGAGGCAAAAGACGTAAATTTTCACTTCATCAGGGGCATCTCTTCTTATGAATTGTCAATATTTTACGAACACATTCCAAATTTTATTGTGGATAAGATGCACAGTTGGAAACATATTTGTGATATTTGTTTTTCTGTTAAAAATACTTGTTTTTACTAATAAAAATATATTTTTATAAATAACTTAGTGTCTGGCTTTGCTGGTGGCTCACGCATCTGATCCTCGCCATCAAGATAATCCAAGTTTATCTAATTTAATACCACCAAATGGGCAAAATGGCTTCAGGAGTCATAGAAGATGCACCTGTAGGACATCGGCACCTAGTCGATCCTATTCAGGGCACAGGAGGATGGTAAGTATATATAAATTTCATTATAAAGCATTACTAATGGATCATTGATCTAATTATTCGCTAAGATCATTTAGAACTCTCTAGGTGAGCAATATCATGACTCATGCGTGAGTCATTATCTTATTAAATATAATCTAAGATTAAAAATAAATAAAAAACCGTTTTCGTAAAAACCTATATTATTTCAGTGGGTTTATATATCATGTCTTTTTCCAAATACTGCATTATAATATGGGAAATTTGAAGGAACAGGTGAGGTTCATTATTTAATGTGACAGTAATTAATCAATCTGATAATTAAAAACTATGCAGTATGAAACATATATTAAGATAAATATCTTTCGATAAATTTGAAATTTAATTTTTATACTATATCGGAATAAATTATTTTAATTTGGTAGTATCGTTAGATAATTGTATGCTTATACGTTCCTAGTTCCTTAAATTATTTTTTCGATTCAAATAAACTGATGGTTTATTTAATTACTATTATTAGTTTAGTATGTTAACAAACAATATATCCAGCTACTTTTGTGTTTGTACTGTACATGTAGGCTATACAAAGCAAAATTTGAACAGTAAGGTTGCAGATATTTAATTATCTTTAAGAATCCCGCACGTTGATCGATCACATTTTCTAGTTTTCCCGAATTGTCACGGTCTACAAGTTCTGACCAGCCGAGTTCAACCTTGAATGTTCACGTCCTATTTGTATCGTACGCTTGAACCAATCCCGATATTTCTAGGATTCGGACGGTTGTTCTTGCCAGTCGACAGCATCAGAAGAGAGCTACAGCTGTACAGAGGACTACCCCTCCGACAGTACAGTTTCGTCGGTTAGAGGGCCCTCCTGGAATTATTACGCCGGAAGAAGGGACAGGAGAGAGATAAGTCGACCTCATCATCACCACCACCATCATCCACCGGTCCAAGTTCGAAATACGCCACCGAATGCTCAGCAGCATCAGAGGAGTGCCAGCGGGAGTAGTTCAGGTAGCAGCAGAAAAACAGAACCCACTACCCATCCTGTTGAATCTACATCGGGGACACCTTCCGGGTCCCAACAGCCATTTTTTCTCCATGAACCTAATATGACCTCTGATGATCGAGTGAAAAAATTATTCGGAAGTGAAAAGCAAGAAGCATTCAAGTCAAATACCCATCTAGGTAAGTATTTTTTGGAATGAATTGTTACGAATCTTTTAAAACAAGAAATAAATTTAGAATGAAATTTTCAAACCTGTTAATCTTTTAAGTAAATAAAATCAATTTTGATAAGAAGCATAACAATATACTGCATAATATGAAACATATCCTTATGCTTCTTACCAAAATTAGGCCGGATGATTTGATAAAAATTTTGACAATAATCTGTGAAATTATATTTATATATTTAGTCTTAAACCATAAAATTATAATTCTAGACATTAGCTTATATATTAAGTCAATATAAGTAATTAAATTTCATTGCAAAATTTAGTATTAATGTTTTATTGAAGCAATAAAAATTGTTAATGCTAATTTTTATAAATTTAAATATATATTTTAAAATTTCAATGCTTCATCTAATGGCTCTATGAATAAACTATCCTTTACTAATCATTTTCTCAATGATTCTTTATTTTAAAGTTAACTATTAAAATTTTTGTCCTTTATAAGTTCTCTACACGAAAAATTTCATTTAACCTATTTCAATCCCTTCTATTCCCATTTAAATAAAAATCGAATGTTTATTATGTTTGCACAGCTTATTATCAGATTAGAAGTAAAAAACAAATATTTTACCCTTTACATAGCTGACAAAATATATATAAAGTTAAATTAGCCTACTATTCTAATCGCTTTTCATAAATATATTTTACTTGTAGAATGGTTCATTTGATTCCAAAGAGTCAAATTTAGGTCATGTCTGGTTGTTGTAAAGATAGTAATTATTGCAAGATTTTGATTTATTGTGTAATAATTGATTTTAAGGAATACCTGATAAAGCTTGAGCGTTTCTCATTTTGATAAGCACAAATTATAGATTTATATTACTATTTTCATTCTTAAGAACGTGAATTTAATTGATTTATGATAGTGTGTTTTGTTCATTTCTATTAGTTTTATATAACATTTAGATTTTTTCATTGCGTTTACATACAAATGAAAAATATGGAATAACTTTGAGATTGCAGAGAAATTTGATATTTTATGTTGTTAGTAGTCTCTATAAAATAAAACTTTGATCATTATCCATTTCGTTTTTTAGCGCTTTTCTATTTAAATCTGAATTCATATAAAATAAAAAAACAATGGCTCTGAACTTTTCCGTAATGTAGAAAATTGTAGGAAAAGGAATCGTTTAATTTTTACTAAACAAAAATTTCACGCTAAACATTTAACTTTGATCAAATTTGTAATTTTCTTCTTCTTCGAATATAAGTGTGATCAAATTGTCTGTCTGTAACGCATCTGTCCTTTTAACATACAAAAACCCCAAAATAATCGCTCCGACTTACTAAACCAAATATTTACGAAACTTTTTATAGAACTAACACAATTTAAAATGTAGGAAAACATCTTTATCCTCCAATACTTCCTTTCTAGAATTTTTTTGAAAATTGTTTTATCGGTTGTGTGACTTTTTTAGTTTGTGTTTTATGTGGTTTCTGAGGGAACTAGTTTTTTGTATGGGAATTACTCCTCCTGAAAAAAAGAGAAACGAAAGGAACATGAAATAAGCAATGCTATCTTCAGAGGAGGAAAATAAAATAAATAATCTTTTTAGTCATTAACCTTGACAAAGAGAATAATCTTAATGCTATTTTTCTAGTTTTGAAATTTTGTCCGTGACAATTAACAGGAAACATGGTCTGATTTCGTGTTTTTGCTATTTTGCGATTTTCCTATAACCATTCAAAATCAATTTTAGCCATTTCCTTCATAATAGAGATTATTTTTATCAAGTTACTGTTTTTTTAATTATAAGTTTCTTACTACGTAAATTTTTCGGTTTTTCCTATTAAAATTAAAAATGAGTAATCATAGCCTGACTGATTTAATCATAATATCGAAGAGGTTTGATTTAAAGCAGAACGTTATCTTCTTATTAATTTTTTTTCAATATTAAAATTCAATTTTTTGAAGTAATTTTAGGTAGACTTTGGTATTAATATATAAAATGGGTTTTCTTTTTCTGTAGAATGACGAATAAGAGTATCATTTATCCATTCTTTCTAAACAGAATAAAATTCTAGTATAGCAATTAAGGTTTTGCTTCTTTTATTGACAATTACACCTTGTAGGTTAGATTTAGTTTGTTGATATCCCGGGGATTAGAAGGGATTGAAAATTCCATCCGATCCACTTTTCTTGTTGGTTAACTGTTGGAGGTGTACCTGTTTTTCTGCTAGGCTCCGGAACAGAAAGCTTCAATTAACCAGCTCCTTGCAACTCATGCTTAATCGGCCAAGCCGAACAACGGCAAACACAACTCAACTTAATTCCTTTCCGAACTTGTCTCCGCAGTTACCGCGGAAGTCCACCATAACTCCGACGATTGCATGAGCGTTTCTGACGTCAGCGATCCGGTACCCGATTACGACGACCACGTAAGAACGCCTACCAATAACGAAGCACAGACATCGTCCGAAGCTTGCAGCCTCAGCACCGACGAGGGGATCTCCCAGGAGAACGAAGAAGGCTATCCACAAGCCTTACAAGAGTTGATTGACGTGTTAGTTGGTCAAGCTACGGATACGGAAGAAGACAGCTGCACCATTAAGACCCTCTCCTCACAAAGGGCATCCGAAGTGGAGGATGCCCGATCCGACGACGGATCTAAGACTTTGGAACAAGAGGAGATCGATGAAACTGTGGTTAAGGTTCCGCTTACAGAAACCGTTTCTTGTCCAGCCGAAGTCGAAATCAGGCCCAAAAAGCAACCCGCACCTCCTCCACCTCCTATTCCGACCATAATCACCACTAAAAAACGCGAAAGTGACTCCAACGAAGCAGAAGTATCGCACGAAGAACCGGTAGAATTTAAGAAGAAACTGCTTGTGAGGGGTCAACCTAAAAGTTTACCTTTCATACCACCGCAGTTTCACTCACCGCCTGATTCTGATGTGAACATAAAGCCTTCCGAATACTTGCGGAAGGTGACCAAAAAATCCGGCGACGAACCGGAAGTGAACGGCGATACCAAAACGGCGAATGGCGGCGACCCGGATGGTGACACAATCAGCATTTCCGGTGAGAGTGTGACCAGAGTCGATCAAGTCACGGATCAGGCGGATAAGAAGATGAATGGCCACATAAGTCCCAGTGCTAATTCGCCTAATAAGTTTTTCAGTGTTACAGTGGAACAGTTACAAACGATACAGCTGAAGAAAACTGATAAACCTACAGAAAGTAAGTACCTATACCAGTATTACAATAAAAACGTTTGGTTTAATTTAATACTATTCTTATAAGATCAAAAATAACGTCGATGTATATTAGGAAGTCTATCACTTGTAGGTGAGAACAGATTGAAATTATATATTAAAACGGTAGAACTCTTCCTGTTTACGTGCTGCTGAGACTATCCTGTTGCAGTATAATAGAAAGACGATATCTGATTAGGTTGGAATTCAAAATTAAAAAGGTCGATAGAGTTCGTTGTGCATGGTCGGTGCATGGTCGGTGCATTATCCAGTTCAATGGCATCTGAACTAGATGTTATAATTAGCATAACTATAAATTTATAAATCGATTAGAACAAGATATAAATCGATTTTGTCGAAATTATGCTTTCTGAGTTGGAACAATTTTAATATCTAATTGATCGGTGTGAACATTGAATCTACGATGATCTACCATTCAGTAGGAATCCTAGCGTTGTTCAAATTGACAATGTTAAGATTTGTAATGAAGCCTATGTTATAATATATTAGTTTAGAATCGAAATTAAATTCTAGGATATTCAGTAATCTTTTTAAAAATATATGATAGAACCTTAACAAATTTTTCATTAAAATCACACACAAATAATTTTTATTTCTCGTGTAATAATTTTGGAAGCATAAACGGATATCAAAATATAATTAAGATATATATTGAATAGATTATAGAAAAACAATAGTACAATAGAAACAGAACATTTTAAGATTTTAAATTAATAATTAAAAATAATTACAGTTTAATTTCTTTAAATAGAAATTAAATTGTATTCATTTACGAATATTTTAAGACTTATAAATTCAAAATAATTCATGTCTTAAAAATACAAAAATGATGTAAGAAATTTACTTGGTTATTGTTTTAGAAATATAAAAATGTGAAATTATTTGAAAGTGACGCTGTATTATGTCCTTCGAAACAGACATAGCTTATTGTTCTGTTAATTTAACCACAATCAGAAATGCTAAAATCCTTAAAAATTTTAAAGAAAGTAAAGAATTACCTGCGTAAACCATCCGTGTCTTCTTCGAAATGCTGTTTCGTAATAACGATGCTACTACAACAACCAAATACAACGGGGTTGCGCACGATACAGAGGGTTGTGCTATTTTCTAAACTAATGCTTCCTCGAGCACCACTGGCCTGCAGCTAATTTGCGAATAATTATAAAGTTTTTATTCTGTTTTGTGTCATATTAAAAATAAAATTAGAATGTAAATTTCTTTACACTTAGTCCAAATTTATTAAAATTTTATACTAATATGAAATTTGTTTCTTGTAGCTCGAGCTGTACTACTTCAAAAGAATGACTTGATTACAGAATTAAAGCAATCTAAAGATATACAAGGCATTAAAAAGATGAAGGAAGAAAGAAGTAAAACTGAAGAAGAAATGGTAAGCAGTATCATATAACACATCATTTATATAGACAAAAAATAAATGTTTTAACAAAGATTAAATTTGTAGGAGAAGAAGAAAGCAATAGAACTGTCACAGCAGTTCTCAGTAGAAAATTTTGTGGATAAAGTTCCAGAAAAAGATGCTAATGGATGTGTTATTCCTGCCTGGAAACGCCAAGTAATGGCGAGGAAAGCTGCAGATAAAGCGAAGAAAGAAGCAGAAGAACAAAGACAAGTAAAAATGTTTACCTGTATATCTAAAAAGTAACATCTACTGAGTTTAGGAAATCTATCGAATTTCTCAACGAAGATTTCAAGTACATAATCACCTGCATTAAGATGTAGTTAGTTAGAAAACCTTAATTTTTAAACAGGAAAATCATCTTTTTCATTATATATATATAAACGATAACGATTAAACTGTAAAACTACTTTATGAAGTATGACGAAGTGGGAAAAGTATGTATTGTAACCACTCAAACTAAAACAAAACAGCTAAAACCTAATTAATGTTTCAAAACTAATAACCATAACAATAGTGTATAATAATAATAGTACCAAAGGACTGCACTAATAAGCTTACGTAACTAAGATCACAATTAGCAGTTAAGCAACATTTTCGAGCAGTATTAGAAAATAAAAAAGTTATATATATCTTTCGAATTATTAGTGAAAATACCAATTTATATTCTATAATCCTGAATATTTCATGATNAAAAATAAAAAAAACTTATTTAAAAAATTATTTTTAATTTTCAAATTTAAATTTATAAAATAGACTTACTGTAGTGTCATTCTTGCTTCTTTATTTCACATGAAAAGCAGTGCAAAATCTGTTTTGCTGGAAAAAAATAAGTTAATCAAACAGAATTCATTAATAAAGTCTTACTGAAAGAATATTTCTTTTTCAATAACATTTAAATACTTTGTTTTTGAATTCTCAAATACAAAATAACTTCTTAAATTATTTAACATTTTATTTAAGTAATTATCTAATACTACACTAAAATTTCAAAAACAAACAATAATAAAATATCACGTACCTTAGAACCTTTAACCGATGCGAAATAAAAAAGTACATGATATTTTGTTAAATCCGATGTGCAGATGATAATAATTATAGAACCTTTAACCGATGCGAAATTAAAAAGGTACGTGATATTTTGTTAAATCTGATGTGCAGATGATAATTATTATTTCTAGAAAGTGATGCCGACTAATAAGTATCGAAAAGTGGTTATCAACCTTACCAAAGCTAGAGAGAAACTAGCCTTTTTGAAGACATGCAAGGAATTACGTGTGTTTCCAATGTCCATTTATCGCATAAAACTACCCAAAGGAAACGAATCCTTACTTCCTAAAACCAGATGGATGTGCATGAACAGAGCAATCAGATCCACTAGAAAGTTATTGTATTCTAGCTTGGCAAGCCTGGTTAATATTGAGAACTACATATTCAACCAAAACCCACACTCGCTCAAGGTAGAGAATGCAAAAATAGCTAACATCCAGGAAAGACTCAGCGATAAACTTAAAAAACAATATCATAGGAAACTTCAATGGATCCTACGTTTTCAACTTCCAGCCAATTATGCCCAACATGCATGTCCTTTTGTTGTATGGGATGGTATACAAGTACCTAGTTATGCACAAAGGATACTTAAATTTGGACCAGCTTATGCGCCCACTCCCCCATATAAGGGTACTCTACGAACATGCATACCTGACCTGGAAAGATTGGTGCTAGGCATNTAATGATGTGATGGTACTGTATTATATTTATTCGTTTGAAAATGTTTGAATAATTATTATTAAATTATAAATCGCTACTACTGTCCAAGATCTGAACTTTTAAAAACCTGTAGTGTACTTTAAAAAAGGCGTTATAATATATGTATGTTATTCAAATTTATTTTACAAAGGACTGAAACTTTTAATTTAAAAATTTTTCTATTTCCTAAAATACAAATTTTTAATTTTTTGGAAAACGGGAAATTTTTTCATTATTATTTTTAGTACAATGAAAAAACAGTATGATAAAACTTTTCATACTTTATGTAAGCTTTATGGTTTCAGCCAAAAAATTTTACAAGTGAATGAATGAGAAAATTTTAATAACGATTTTAATAAGCTGTTTTAGACAGAAAAAATTGTATATTTTAATACTTATATTCAAAATTTTTCATTAATTTTCTTATACGTCTAGTTTAAATCATTAAAAATAATTATAATACATAAATGCGAGAATTTAATTTTTATCTATAAAATAGCGTAGTGGTTCTTAACCATTGTTCCACGAAAGAAAAGATTTTAGTTTTTATTCCCTTGCTATATTCGCACACAATTCCATGTTTTTATTTCATTCAATATATTAAAGTTTATTAGTTTATTGCTTCATTGTTTCCTGAGAATAGTAAACTAAACATGGAATTGCTTACAAGTTTTTCAATGTATTGATGCTAATGCTCCGTGTAATAAGTGTTCCGCGGCCTCAGAAAGGTTGATACCCACTAAAATAGCGAATAAAAATTTACATACAGCGCAAATAACTTTTTCAAATTCTTGAGTAAAAGCTAACGTATTTTGAAAAATTTCTGACCATCTTTTCAAATGAGGCAGCGAATTCTTCGATCAAAATGTTAGTTTTTTTGTGATTTACTCAAAATGACATTTAAAAAGATTTACTTGAGGATACGTTTTCTTTTAAAATGGTAAAATATTGTAGAAATAAGAGTTAAGCAAGATGATATGCAAATAAAAATTAATTGTGCTAATTAAATGCTTCGATAATGAATTATTCATAAGATAGCTAGCTGATGGATAGATATGAAAAAAGGAAGAATATATAGAATTAATATATGTTTATTTCCGTATGATGGGATTCATAACTTCTGTTTTAAAAAAATTATAATTTGATCGAAAGTGCAATTTTATTAGAAAATTAGGAAATTTTAAAATTTTGAATATTTAATATTCAAGAATTTATATATTAATAAATGTATTAAAATGAAATGGAATAAGTTATAGACATATTAATAAACTTTTACTAATCATAAGAATTTTTTCTTTAACATTTTTAAAAGTTTGTTTCCATCCCGAAATATATTTTATCATTACTACTAATATTAGTAAATAAATATAGTTTAATATATTGTAAATATCTTGATAAAAAAATGTATATATTTTTTCCTATTTAGATGTTAAACAACACTAAAGTACTTAAGCATGAAATTTATTGATGGAAATAAAATCAGAATGAAAATATAAAGAATATTGTCAGCTACTGAGGGGTGTGACTTGTGCGAATTTGGTCGCATGAAGTCACCCTGACACTTTACTAAAAATAACGCGCTGTGTTATATTGGCATTATGCCTACGATGCTGTTAACAACCCAAGAAGACGATCTTCACTTCCAGGTTTATAATTAGTAAGGCGGAATACGCCAGTCTCCTCCAAGATGGTTGAAAGAAGCAGATCATTCTAACTGCACGCCATGAGTTCTCTACCAGAAGTGACCCTCTTCGTCAAGGCCGGCGCCGATGGGAAAAGGTATGGTGCCTGCCCCTTTTGCCAGAGAATATTCATGATCTTGTTGATCAAAGCTAAAAACCAACAACTAAGATTTAAGGTGGCTACAGTGAACGTAGCCAAACCTCCCGAAGATTTCAAAAAGGTATCTCTCAGAAGAGTTCCTGCTATTGCACACAACGATAATGCAACCGATAACGTCGACGATATAGTACAATATCTAGACGAAGTATTTCCTACAGACACGTTAAACTACGATAATTCCGAAGCGGAAAAGGCATGCAAAGATATTTTCCAGAAATTTTGCTTTTTTATAAAGGAGGTATCTAAGGATAGCAGTTTATTAGTAGCAGAATTAAACAAGCTTAATAATTACTTGTTATCGGCTCAGACAAAATTTCTATGCGCCGACCACGTGACTCATCTGGATTGTGAAGTTCTGCCTAAATTGCATCACGCTAGAGTGGCTAGCAAAACGCTGAAAGGGTTCGATTTCCCGCCTAATATGGACGGTTTATGGAGGTACTTGAAAAATGCATATAGCGAAGAATCCTTCGTTAAATCTTGCCCTTCAAATCAAGAAATAACTATTCATTGGGCCGATAAACCGGAAACGCCTAGCTTATCTCTAGAGCAGCACGCTTATTTAACTAAAAGCGAACCACAGTACACGTTAACTATTCCATCAGAAAATGCAAAGTAAGTTGAGTAGAATTTTGAATTAAGGGCAAAAATATGATTGCAGTGTGTGCCAAGAATTTTGTTGATAAATTTTGTGATTTAAAAAGTATGTATTAATGCTGTTTAATATATATGATTATTTTCAATAAGTTTACTGTTCGTTCATTTTTAAACTGTGTTCAATTAAATACATATCCACAATTTATTTTCATTTTTCTTCTGAGTGCAGGAAATGAGCTATTTAGTGCCAATGCCACATTTATTATGACAAGCGTTTTTAATTTTATCTATACGCATTAAGGGTTAAAATTAGAATACGATTAAAATATTTATAGATACAACTACTTTATGACTAAATAATGGCTTCATTTATCATGACATTTAAAAATTTTATCTTAGAAACGCGGTATCAAAAATATAAATTATTTTTTAACGAGGATGTGTGTATATTTGATTGTTTACTTAATTTGAAAAATGTGTTATCACAAATGTTTAAGAAAAATAATTCGTCAGCAAACTTTGCTTCAAAATATTAAATATAAGTTAAATATTTATCTAATATTTGCAAAACAAATTTAATTAACATTTTGCATTTCTTAAAATAATTTTAAGAAATCAATGTTTTTTCAGACTGTTAATTATTTAAGGGTTACAATCTAATAAGAATATAAATTGGAATGATGTATTTTGTGTGATGATATTGTTACATGTCAAACTGGATTTAGATCATCTTTATACACAATATGCATTCATTATAAAAACCCGAGAATTTTTCTCTGAAAATAAATGAAAATTTTTATATATACTTCTACACATTCAATAATTTATTAAAATTCAGTCATCAATGCAAAAATTTAAGCTTTTCAACTATTCTGTATATATACATATATGATATGTTTGTTTTAAATTTATAAATATGTTATTTTTAACATAATCATAAAGTCAACACAAGGGAGAAAAATTGAAATTTTTAAAAAGTAGCAGATATATAAGAATACAATAGTCTAGACCAGTGTTCCACAACCTTTTTCTACTTGCGGCACACCCATGACTTCACCACGGCACACCAAAATGTTATTTCCCTCAAAAACGTATGATATGATACTATTAATAAAATTACGTAATGCTACTAACCTATTATTATTGTTATTAAACAGACATCAACACCTGTGAGCAAATTTTTTTTACATATAATTTCTTAGAATACATAAAAATGCATGGCTTGTAATAAAGAATAAACAAACATCATCTTATTTCATCAGTACTGCGGCAGAGAATNTGATTTATTAGCTGTTGACTGCTATTTCTCTTCTCTCAAGATAACATTCTTGAATTACTCTTTAATGATCTCTGAATAAAAAGCTTAACACTTTCTTGGCAATAGAAAAAAACCTTATTATCTATAGATTTATAATGACATGTTACTTTCTATAAATCCAATATAAAATGTTGCTCTCTGTTTAATTTATAAATATGATTTTTAATATAGTAGTGCTCTTGTTTAACAATGAAGCATTTTATTATTAAAAATGAATATATTGCATGGTTTTTTCTCAAAAAATTTTCCAATGATCTGAAAGTAGCAAGCAAGTAATAGTTCTTAATATATTACAGATTGATTAAATTATAGCATTATTAAAATATGATTTATATTTCCACAAAAAAAAAAAAAAAAAAATACATAAAAGATCATTACATACCATCAGTGTCACTTCACTTGACAGTGACATTTCTGAATGTTTTCCTTTTTTTTTTTATTAGTGAAAAATATAAGGTTTTTTTGCAAATGTTTGTGCAATGTCTATGAGGGTCCACAAAAAAAATTTAAGAGGAAAAGGGGTCCATGGATAAAAAAAAAGGTTGAGAACCATTGGTCTAGACATTTAATAGCATTGAAAGACTATTAATGCAAAAAGATGAGATGCAATTGGCATCCCATCTTTGAACATATCTAAGCTATAACAGAAATTTACTCCTTCAGCATGTTCTGAAAAAATATTTTTTTTTACTTAAATGTTTTTCTTTTTACTTTTTTCTTCTAAACTAGCACTTCCTCTTAACTAGAGGAGCCTATATCAAAATGCATATAAGCTTATTACATTAATATTGATAAAAATTTGAATTATTCCTTTTTAACCAAGTTATTTATGGTCTTGTCATATACACCACTTTAAAAACTAAAGATATAAAAAATAAACTGAATGTTAATATACTGTATATAAATAATTTACTGGATTTCAGGTCAAAGGATTTTTGAACAAGTACTTCATATATTAAATTCTGCATGAAGTAAACATAATAATACATGTTTGCATTGACGAAAATGTATTGCATAATCTAAATTATCACTCAAACTAAATAATGCTCAAATAAAATTNTAGTGAAAATACCAATTTATATTCTATAATCCTGAATATTTCATGATCATTAACCAGTAATTTTTAAAATAATTTTTCAGATTAATCAAAATATTATTTTGTTTTCAGTTAAAACCTATGGCGATCTTAATGTTATTACAAACAATTTAGTAATTCTGTATCTAAAAAATAAATGTCACTTCTATTTTCGAAAAATTATACCATTTATCTACAGAAAATTACATTTAAACCTAATGAAACTGATAGTGTACTGTTGGAGAAAGTTAAATTTTTTTTATGTAGTTAGCGAGAATATATAATTATCTCAACATTAGAATTTTGTTACGTAACATGTAAAGTGAAAAATATTTACGTTTAATTTGAAATTACGTCATTTTCAGCGCGCACAAAATTACCGGATTCTTAAATACTGTACTGCTATTAATTTCAATATAAAAAGGCATTCAAAAACCAAAACCTTTATATCTAAATATGAAAGTTGGTGTTATTAAAAAAAGTCAATTTTAAAATTAATATTTCCGCAAATAAGAGCATACTCTTATGTGAAAATCTCTCGTTTTCGCATTTTTAAAATGCCCTGCTTGCACATAAGAGCAGTGGCTCTTATATGCTAAGCATAATATGTTTCAAAAACGTAAAACAAGCATGTCAATGTAAATTAAATGTCACTGAATCTGAAATTGACTGTATCATTACATCAGTGATGACGAAAATTTAAAAAATTTTCCATCTGTAAGAGCAAGCTCTTATTCTGAGTATAAGATCATTTCTTGCATATGAAATGTTCTTATAAGCGCGGAAATACGCTATTTATTATATAATCTATAAATAAAAACTAAATTCGGATTATTTTAAAATTAAAGAGAGAAGCAGAAGAAAGGAGGTTGAATTCCATACCGCCTTGGAAGAGACAACTTTTACAACGTAAAGAATCGAAAGATGTTTCTGTTATGTAAGTGCTGTACATACTTATAATCAGTATAATTTAAAGATCTAAATGCTTCAAAATTAATATATTTCTTCCCTCCCCTGTAGAACAAATTCCGTTCAAAAGCCAGTTGTAGGAAATTTGGCTAAAGCACCTTCGATGGATAACTTAGACGAGAAGAAAGAGGAAGATGTGCAACACACAGAAACAAACGGAACGGTTAACGGACAAGCAGACGAAGAATCGGAAGAAGATCGACCACCAAATCCTTGGTTGCATCAACTACGTAAAACTAACATAGTCTTTCGGTGATTACCTATCGTTATATTATTAAAGGAAGGGAAAAGAAAAGAGAAATAAATTTCATATGTAAAGAAAACAGTTCCTGAAAGATCTGATATTGAAACAGCCTTTCATATTGTAAAGATTTATATGATATAAATATATATATATATTTTTTTAGTCAGTAAATACGATCTTTTATGCCAAAGGAAGGTCAGAGAATCATAATTTTTCAGGAAAAAATTTTTAAGTAAATAAATTTTTTATATATAGGCCTATATAAATATATTAAATATACGAAAAAGAAACCTAAGACTTCGTTATATAAAATAGTAAAAATCATGTGAAAGTTTCGTGTAAAATTTTCGTTTTGGTGAAGGAAACTTTCCTATTTTAAGGGATGTTCGTTGTTATTATTGTTGTATCGTTTATACGAGAGACTATACAATGACGAGTGAAAGCTTTACAGAGACCATGGTGAAGGGCCATGGGTAATTATGGCTTAACATGGAGAAAAATAATGTAATATAATTATTATTTGTATTACGATTCAAATAAAATTTTAATGATGCTAATTTTGTATTGTGTTTAATATAAGTTGTACTCAGTTTATCACTTTTAAAATTAAAATTATAATTTAATATTTAAGAAATATTGCACGTGCTGCCATCTGTCATTCAAATTTATAAACTGTTTTTTGTACCTAGAGAGAGAATCTGCGGTAATTATTTTAATAATTATTGACAAAATTATATTAAATAAAATAGCTCAAATTTAAAACAAAATTAAAAAATAAAGTACTATATTATAATTTGCAAGAATAATTTTATTATAAACTTAGACATCGGAAATAATTCAAATGCATTATTCATTTATGTTTGAAATTTGACATTTATAAAGTTTTCTCTTCACATACATCTTAATCAAATTTAGATTTTGTATATATTCTAATTAGAAGAAGTTACCGAAATCACTGTTAGATTGTTATTTAAAGTTTTAGAAAAGATTAATTAGTAAATTTTAAAAAAATTTAAAAACTGAATAAATAATTTTTAACTACGTTTAATACCTTATCGAAGTTGTAAAAGCGGTTAATGTACACTAAATAAACATCGGCAGCTGTTTGCAGTCGGATGTCTGTCTATATATCAGTAAAAGTCCCATTTGTTCAACAGAAAAGTTAGAAGACGACTTCAAATTTGTATGTATTCCATAATTACATAACTTATATTATGTAGAAAATAATATAATTAAAAAAATGTCTAATTTTATATATTCCAAGGCGTAGAACTACATGATGATTTACATTTATATGAGCATACAGACCTTCAATTTTATTGACAATATAATATTTTATTTCATCACAGAGAGGATCGATATATTATACTAATATCAAATGTCAAATTTGACTAGACATGTAAACACTTGACAAAATCTACACATATTCTAATATAAATTCGTATAATTCTAAATCGTTTAGGTAATTTTACGTTACGTTGCACTACAATAAAATTATTTTAAATCTCGTTATATTATCATAAAACAGATTTATTCTAAATAATTATCCATATAGTTTTACAATAAAATTATTTTAA